GAGAGAGAGAGAGAGAAAGAGAGAGAGAGAGAGAGAGAAGTAGGAACTGGATTTATGAAAGAGCCAATAAAATAGATAAACCATTGGTTAATTTGATTTAAAAAAAGAAGAAAAGAACAAAACCAAATTACTAGTATCAAAAATGAAAAGAAGGGTAAATTCACCACCAATGAAGATGAAATTAAAATAATTATTAAGAATTATTTCACCAAAAAAAATAAAAAAGCATTATTTTGTCCAATTATATTGCATTAAAACTGACAATCTAAGTGAAATGGATAAATATTTACAAAAATATAAACTGCCCAGATTAACAGAAGAGAAAATAGAATGCTTAAATAACCCTATCTTAGAAAAAGAAATTGAACAAGTAATCAAAGAGCTCCCTAACCAAAAATCCCAAGGACCAGATGGATTTAGAAGTGAGTACTACCAAACACTTCAGGAACAATTAATCTCAATACTATATAAGCTATTTTTTAAAAAAGGTAAAGAAAGAGTCCCAGCAAATTCCTCCTATGACACAAATATGGACTTGATACCTAAACAAGACAGAGTCTACGAAATCCATAGACCCATTTCCTTAATGAATGTTGATGTAAAATTTTTAAATAAAATACTAGCAAGGAGATTGCAGCAATATATCACAAAGATCATAAATCATGACCAGTGGGATTTATGCCAGGAATGCAGGGTTGGATCAATATTGGGGAAACTGTCAGCATAATTCACCATATCAATAACACAAACAACAGAAATCATATGATTTTGTCAATTTTGTTGTTCAGTCACTTCAGTCATGTCTCACTCCTCATGACCCCATTTGGGTTTTCTTGGAAAATATACTGGAATGGTTTGCCATTTCCTCCTCCAACTCATTTTACAGATGAGGGAAATGAAGCAAACAGGGCTAAGTGACTTATTCAGGGTCACACAGCTAAGAAGTGTCTGCAGCTGGATTTGAACTCATGAACATGAGCCTTCCTGATTCCAAGCCCAGTGTTTTATCCACTATACCTCCTAGCTGCACATGGATGCAAAAAAAAAAGTCTTAAACAAAATGACACATATTCTCATTAAACTAGAAAGCATAGGAATCAAAGGTGCTTTTCTTAGGATAATAAGTAGTATTTAACTAAAACTAAGAGCGAGCAGTATCTGTAATGGGGATAAGCTAGAAGCCTTCCCAATAAGATCAGAGGTGAAGCAAGGATGTCCATTATCACCACTATTATTAAATATTGAACTAGAAATGCTAATTTTAGCAATAAGCCAAGAAAAGGAAATTGAAGAAATAAAAATAGGCAATGAGGAAACAAATTATTACTCTTTTTGGATGATATGATGGTATACTTAGGGAATCAACTAAATACTAGTTCAAACAATGAACAACTTCAGCAAAGTTCAGGATATAAATCATCAGTATTTCTATACACTACCAACAAAACCTAGTGGGAAGAGATACAGAAATTCTATTTTAAACAAGTGCAAACAATATAAAATACTTGGTAATCTACCTGCCAAGACAAACTCAGGGATTATATGAACATAATTACAAAACACTTTTCACACAAAGACAGATCTAAACAACCGGGGAAATATTAGTTGACTGTTGGCCACGCCAATACGGTAAAATGACAATTATACCTAAATTAATTTACTTATTCAGTGCCATACCCATCAAACTACCAAAGAATTGTTTTATAGAGCTAGAAAAATAGTAACAAAAAATCATCTGGAAGAACAAAAGGTCAAGAATATCAAGGAAATCAATGGGAAAAAAATGCTAAGGAAAGCAGCCTAGCAGCTCCAGATTTCAAACTATATTACAAAGCAGTAATCATAGCTATAATCTATTACTGGCTAAGAAATAGGGTGATGGATCAGTAGAATAGATTAGGTACATAATACATAATGGTAAATGACCATAATTATCTAGTGTTTGATAACCCAAAGAGCCAGTAAGAACTCACCATTTGACAAAAATTCTGGGAAAACTGAAAATCTGTTTAGCAGGAACTAGGCATAGACCGACATCTCACACCATACACAAAGATAAGGTCAACATGGATAAATGATTTAGATCTAAAGGGTGATATCATAAGTAAATTAGGGGAGCATGGAAATTTACACTCATCAGATCTATGGATAGGAGAAGAGTTTGTAACTAAACAAGAGATGGAGATTATGGGAAGCAAAATAGATAATTTTGATTACATGAAGTTAAAAGGCTTTTGCACAAACAAACTAATGCAGCTAAAAATAGAAAGAAAACAGGAAACTCAGGGGAAAAAAATTATGCAGGTTTCTCTGATAATGGCCTCATTTCTCACATATAATGGTAACTGGACCAAATTTATAAAAATAAGAACTATTCCCCAGTTGATAAATATGAACAGGTAGTTCACAAAAGAAGAAATCAAAACTACCAATAGTATGAATAGTCACATGGAAAAAATGCTCTAAATCACTTCTTATTAGAGAACTACAAATTAAAACAACTCTGAGGTAAAACAACTCATACATATCAGATTGGCTAACATGAGAGTAAAAAAAATGAAAAATGCTAGAGGGGAAGTGGAAAAAATTGGGACACTAATGCATTATTGCTAAACTTATGAATTAGTCCAGACATTCTGGAGAACAATTTGGAACACAATGTGTATGTGTATACACAAAGAACTATAAAGTTGTGCTATATTCGACCCAGCAATACCACTCCTAGATCTGTATTCCAAAGAGATCAAAGAAAATGTAAAAAGACCTATTTGTACAAAAATATTTATAACAGATCTTTTTGTGGTGGCAAAGAATTGGACATCGAGAGAATGTACATCACCTGAGGAAATGACTGAACAAGTTGTGACATGTGATTATCATGATATGATTGTGATACGATTGTGCTATAAGAAATGATGAGCAAGATAGTTTCAGAAAAACCTGGAAGGACTTACAAAAACTCATGTGAAGTGAAGAGAGAAGAACCAGGAGAACATGGTTCACAGTAATAACAATATTGTAAGGATGATTGGGATGGACTTAGCTACTCTGATCAAGACAATGATAGAAAATGCCAAAGGATCCATGATAAAAGATGCTCTCCACCTCCAGAGAGAAAATTGATGAACTCTGAATGCAGACTGAAGCATCCTTTTTAAAATTTTCTTTATTTTTGTTTTACTTTGTTTGTTTTCCTTTACAACATGGCTGATATGGAAATATGCTTTCATGACCACACATATATAATTGATATTAAATTGTTTGACTTCTCATATAGGGGAAGACTTAGAAGGTAAGGAGAGAATTCAGAACTTAAATTTTCTTAAATATAACTGGAAAAATATTTAATGAAATAAATAAAAAATAGGAGTTTTTTAAGAGATTGATTTGGTATATACTGAATTGAGGAGACATAGAGACATCCAATGGAGATGTCTAGCAGGCATTTGAAGATGTAGGCCTGGAACTCAGGTGAGGCATCAGGACTAGAAACATAGAGACCAACATCTCACACCATACCCAAAGATAAGATCGACATGGATAAATGATTTAGACCTAAAGGGTGATATCATAAGTAAATTAGGGGAATCATCAGAATGGAGGTGTGAAACCATGAACATAAATCAACCCAAAAAATACAGAATAAAAAAAATTGGAGGTCTGAAGACAAAAGTTGAGCTTTAGGAAATTCCCACATTAAAAAGTCTGGAGATCATGCCCATAAAAAAGGAAAGAGTATAGTCAGAAATATAAAAGTAATAGCAGTGTGCGGTGACACAGAAGTTAAAGGAGATATCAATCATCTCAAATGCTACAGAAAGTAAAGCATTAAACTTTAGAAATGGGGCAAGATGACAAAAAACAATAATTGCCAGATGTTGGAGGGCCTTTGTGGGAAGGCAGGCACACAAATACCCTGTAGCTAAGGCTATAAACTGGTCCAACAATTCTGAATTGTGCAAGTAAAGTGAATACACTATCCAAACCTTCTAACTCGGTGATCCCACAATCGAGCTTATACCATAAGCAAATCAAGAACAGAAACAATGGTCCAAAATGTACCAAAATGTTCATATTAGCACTTTTGACAGTAACAAAGAACTGTAAACATAATGTGGACCCATTGGCTGGGGAATGATTGAAAAACAAAGTTATATGAATCTAACAGAATGTAACTGTGCAGTAAGAAATACAAGGAATTCTGAGAAACATGGGAAGATTTTTTATACACTGATACAAGATAAAATAAACAGAACCAAGAGAACACTATATAAAATGACCACCACAGTGTACATGAAAAGATAGCTGAAAGTAAATGAAACTGCATATCTAAAAAAAGACAGGAAGGTCCTTGAGAGAAGATAATGCACCATACCTCCCCTCTCCTGGAAGAGAAGGCAGGAGACTACTAGGACAAAATAATGTTCCCACTGTCTGACACTAAAGAAATATTTCTGAATGAATTAAAAAATTGAATAAGTACATTCACATGTTGTTGAACCTTTTGTCAAATCTCTGACCACTGTCTGTCTTCCCCATCAGTCATAGCTCAGGGATTACAGGTTATTTCACCTACATCAACAGAAAAAGAACTTCCCAAAGATGGAAAATGTATTCCTTCATTAAAATGGGTGCTCCCTGAGGGAGAAAGGCGTTCATGTCTCCTACCTCAGAGTAGGAGCATCTAAAAAAAGTAGCATTCCCAGATCCAAGTCTTGTGGGAGAGATGCTTTCCCTGCCTTTCAGGAGGGCAGCTTCTATATCTAGAAGCAGCTGGACAATGGATATCACATTGGTTTTGGTGATGAGAAATCTCCTCAGGGTCACAGGATTTGTAATTGTTAGCATCTGCTCCAACCCCTTTCATTCTATTAACGAGGAAACTAAAAGCCAGAAATATGAAGTAATTTTCTCAAGGGCACACAAACAGTAGGTGGCAGAGCCCTAAAGGATATGGATATGATTTCCCTACCTCCACCTGCCCCTACCAAGTCACTAACCTTCCAAAGGAGAAGAGGCACATGAAGAAGATGGCGGTGGCAAAGGCATCAGGGTCAAAGTCCTGGCCCAGGATGTCAATCACACGACCAGTGTAGTGGGGGATGAACATCTCACCTGGAGTGGGGCATGAGCAGATGGACAGGAAGTAACAGCAAGGACCCTTTTCCATGTTAATTTAGATTCATGCTGTCCCCCACACACTCCCACCTTGCCCATTTACCTATGACTGCAGCAGCCAAGAAGAAGAAAGCAGCAACAAGGATGGGGAAGTCAGGCCAGGACAGCTTCAGCAGCCTCCACATCATGGCTTTGTTCTCCTGGACTTGCTCCTTCTCCTGTGCTGAGGGAGGGGCTTCTGAGGGACTCAGCACCTTCCACACAGCCCAGCCCAGTCCCACTGCTCCATAAGCCAGCAGGAGCCAGGTCCATGGGGCTGAGGCTAGGAGCACAGGGGGAGTACTCAAAACCCCTGGAACCAGAGCCCTCAGGGACAGGAACAGGGGGGTGCTCAGGCACAAGGTAGGCAGTAGTTGCCCCACCTTTCCAAGCTCCCCCAATAAACTTAGCACCCCCCACAGGACCCCCACCCGAAAAGCCCCCTCCAGCCAGAGGACAAGGAGCCCTGGAGGGAAGAGAGTTCCCAGCAGCCCCTGCAACAACCAAAGCAGGATCAGGTCAGTCAGAAGGAGGGGAGCCCAGGGCCTCAGGGCAGGAAGCTGCATGTTGGGGCCTGTGAAAGAATAAGGAGAGATCATTATTATATTATTACCATTGTTAATATAACAATAATAATATGTAGTTATAACAATGAGAGACATTATTCTAAGAAGCAACACCTCCAATCAAGTCTACCATTTATCCCTTACCCAAGATCACTTCCCTCCCTAGCTCCCTAGCCCAACCCCAAACTCCTCAGCAGATTCTCAGTCATAGCTTGATTGATGGACTCGTAGGAAGTATCGTTGTTAGGGGCCACAGGGACCATCTAGTCGAACCTCAGGCATTTTTACAGATGAGGAAACTGAGTCTCAGAGAAATGAAGCGGCTTGCCCAGGGTCAGAAAGAGAGTAAGTGGCAGAGCAGGGGTTCAGGTATGAGCCCTCCACCCCCAGAGCTCTTTCCACTTCCCCAGGGCTCAGGGTTTGGTGCTGCTTCTTGGGAGGAAGGGGCAGAGAATTCCCCGAACATTTGGTGATGATGAAGGAAGGGGGGCACTTCTCTAAACCAGCAAATATCCTCGTTCCCACCTTCCCAGTTCCTAACTGCACGGGCCTGCCCCTGCCAGGACTTGCCTGCACGCAGCACGGACTCAGGGGCTGCAGTCGGAGTGGAGCTCGACGCACGATCAGGGTACTGAGCAGCGTCCAGGTGTGTCTCCAGCGCCTGCTCTGGTTCCCCAGTCCCTTTTATCCCTTCTCTTTCTGCCTCACGCCCCAGCCCAAGAGCCTGGGTTTTCACTTTCGCTTCCCTGTACTGCCTTCCCAAACCGGGGAGTCCCAGACCTGAGTCGCCCACAAGGGGGCGCCCAAAATTCTTAAGTCAAAGAATCTTTTACTGAAAATCTAACTTTATTCCTGTGTTGGTCACCTCTGTCTATCCCACCCCAAAAAGACTTTGTATGGCAGCTACTGTGAAGTTTTAACATGATGCTCTTGAATTATAATTTTCAAGCTTAGCCCCCAAGAAGACACAAAAGACACCTTTCATTTTCTGCAAAGGTGGGCAACTATATCTGTGGAACATTAGATATATCAGACTTGTTCTATATGGTGATTAAATTTGATGAACTGTTTTTTCCTCTTTTTTATTCTTTATTGTAAAGGATGGCTTTCTGGTAAAGGGAGGAGGAGGGATACAATGGGAAATGTACATGATATTTAAAAAAAGAAAAAAGAAAGAACAATTTCAGTTTTTTAATAGTAAACAGATGGGGAATATCTAAAGGAGACCAAAAGGTATGGTCAAGCCCAGAGAAACTGACACTGTGGGGTGAGGAACTGAGGTGTGAGTATACTACATAGCTTTAGGGAGTTCTGGAAAGGAGGTGGAGATAGTGAATAAGGGCATCAGCCTTTGAAGGGAGATACAGAGAATATGGGCTGGGATAGTGACGAGCTGGGCCTGGAGGGAGCACAGGGATCATGTCTAAAAATCAGCTGGGGAAGAGGAAGGAGGAGCCTGTAGAGAGGTATGCCTTTCCACCCATCAGTCCTCTCCTAAGATGTTTCCCCTCTCTCTTCCCTTACAAATCACCCCCAATTTCTGCCAGCTGATTTCAGATGTGTACAGTTTTCCTAACGAAGTGGAGGGATGTGTCTTCCTTGGGAAGGAAGGATGTAAGACTTTCTTCTTTAGGGGAGGAGGGATTGTGGAAAGGGAGGCAATTACCAATATTATTGAATGCTATCCAGTACAACTCTGACACTAAAAAAAACTCCAATTTTTAAATATGAACATGAATTTGAAATCAGTCACCAAAATTGGGCTAAGAAAGGAAAATTGCTCCCACTGAATTCAGTCCAATCACCATCACTCTCAGTCAGCATTGGCTCATGACATACACAGACTGTCTTTCCCAGTCCTTGCTGCTGCGTAAACATGAAGTTAATATTTGTATAAAAGTTAAATTACTAAAACATCTGTTGTATTATCTGTTATATTTCTCAACATCATTCATTTTGTGTAGTATAATTAAAATCACTTGGATTCCAAAAACTTTAACTTTAGAAAAATTGAAATAACTTGAAAACAGTGAAGAAGTGTTTAAAATTTTCAACTAGCAAACCTTATTGTCTAAAACCATAAGTGGTGTGAATTTGATTTTTTTAAGGTGTGGTGGGGTTAGGGATTGCTACATAAAGTATGGAAAGCAGTGAGTGAGGCCATAAAGTCTGCCTTGGGCTCCAGCCTGTGACAGTCTAATCTGCCTAGCACCTAAAACGTCATGAAACCAGGCCTTTATTGATTGGAAGATGGGGCTAACCATGGGACCTTGGTACAGCCAATAGTACAATGGACAGTCAGGAGCCCTTGAGGAAGGGAAGAAGTCAACTAGTCTTTCCCACCCTGAGTGCTGGCACCTCATGGTCACCTCTCCTGCTCCTCATTCACTTCCTATATTGGAAAGTCTCTGTTTCCAGAGTGACAGCTGTAGGTGCCCTGGCTGTCACTAGGTATATCTCCCCTGGGAAGAAGTGAGAAGGGGAAAGAGAGGAAGAAATGGGGGGGGGGGGAAGACTGCCAGGATGGTTATGTAGTGGAAAAGTAACCATGATAAACAATGCCTACATTTGCCTACACCTTGACGGTTTACAAAGCTCTCTCACACACATTCATTCTCATCTGCTGGTGGGGACGGTGATAATTGTGGCAGCAGAAACAGCAGCAGTTTCCTCTTATCTTTACTTCAGATCTTCATGTACACTATCTTATTCAGTCCTCTCAAGAACCCTGGGATATTTCCCAATTATATTTTAATATGGCTCCACCTCTAGTCTAGATCATTAAAATCAGAGACTCAGATCATCAAAAGGAGGGAGAAGAAGCTTAAGATTTCTGGCTTTTGTCATTCTCTACTTTTTTTTCTTTTTGTTGACTTTTTGGTGGGGTAGTAGTTTGTTTTTTTCTTCTTTTTCTTTTCCCTTTATTACTGCCTGGAACAGGATAATTGTCCAGTGAAATCCTAGAAACATTTAAATTGTAGAAGTACCTTGAGAAGATCCTTGGGGTGAATATACTATCAATGAAGGTGAAATTAAAGCAATTATTAGGAGCTATTTTGCCCAATTATATGCCAATGAAACTGACAATCTAAGTGAAATGGAGGAATATTTACAAAAATGTAAATTGTACAGATTAAGAGAAGAGGAAATAAAATACTTGAATAATTCTGTCTTGGGGGGAGGGGGAAGGAAATTGAACAAGCCATAAATAAGCTCTCTAAGAAAGAAATCACCAGGACGAAAAAGTCTTACAAGCAAATTGTACCAAACCATTTGAAAAAACAGGTAAAGAAGGAATCCTACTAAATTGCTTCTATGACACAAATGTGGTCTTGATACCAAAATCAGAGAGAACAAAAACAGAGAAGTAGAACGATAGACTTATTTATTTAATGAATATCAATGCAAAATTTTTAAATAAAATACTGGCAAGGAGATTACACCAATATATCACAAAGCTTATATACTATGACTAGGTGCAAATTATACCAGGAATATAGGGCTGTTTCAACATTAAGAAAATTACAATCATAATTGGCATATCAACAACAAAAACCACAAAAAGCATTTTATTATCTCCATAGATGTAGAAAAAGCTTTTGACAAAATACAACGCCTATTCCTATTAAAAAGATGAAAAGCATGGGAATAAGAGGAGCCTTTCTCAAAATGATAAGTAGTATATATCTAAAACTAGCAGCAAGCATTATCTGTAATGGGAACAAACTAGAAACTTTCCCAGTAAGATCAGGGGTGAAGCAAGGATGTCCATTATTATTTAATATTGTACTAGAAATGCTAGTTGTAGCAACAAGACAAGAAAAAGAAATTAAAGGAATAAAAATAGACAATGAAGAAATAAAATTATCACTCTGAAGTATGTTTATGTCTTTGTCACTGTGTGCTTAAATATCTTCTGTTCTTTTAATAACTTATTTTAATGGAAGAAAATAAATAGCTGTCCTACATCTACTCTACACCGGACATTGATTACCTGTCTACATTCTGTTGAAAGAACCTAAATATGAAACTAATATAAGGTTTCAGTCAGAAATATCAAACTCAGCCCATAGGCTGCATATGTCCTGAACAGACTAGAGCAGCAGAACCAGATTAAAATGAAATTTGGAAATGTTTAACAAAATAAATGCTCTCAACAATAATAGGGAAGTTAGGAAGAGGGGAGAGTTTGGAGGGCAAGATAATAAGTTCATTTGGGGACATTTTCACTTGAAAGTGTCTATAAGGACTTCCAGTTTGAGATGTCTCATAGGCAGCTGAGATTTGAGATTGGTGGTCAGTGGAAAGATTGGGCTGGATAAGGAGATCTGATAATCACCAGAATATCAATGATAATTGAATCTACTGGAGATGAGATCACCAAGTGAAATAGCATAGAGGGAGAAGAGAAGAGGGCCCAGGACAGAGCCCTATGAGCTAGCTAGTAACCTAAGAAGTTATCAGGTATGACCCTAGATGAGGGTCTAGCAAAGGAAAATGAGAAGGAACAGTAAGATATGTAGGAGGAGAAGCAGGAAAGAGTAGTGTCATGATAACTTGAGACAAAAGATATCCAGGAGAAGTGGGTGACCGACAGTGTCAAAGTTGAGAGGGGGTCAAAAAGGATGGAGTTAGAGAAAAGGCCATTAGATTGTCAATGAAAAGAATGTTACTAAAATGGGAGAGAGCAGTTTCATTTGAACAATAATATGGGAAGCCAGACTGCAGCAAGTTAAGAAGAGAGTGAGAGGAAAGGAAGTAGAGGCACCAAATGTAGACAGCCTCCTCAAAGAGTCTAGCTACAAAAAGGAGGAGAGATTGGGGGTGATAGATAGCAGAACTTAATGAATGAAGGGAGCATTTTTTGAGAAGAGAGGAGACATGGACATTTTTGTAGGCAGTAAGGGAGCAGCCAGTAGACAAAGCAGGATAGCAAATGAAAGAAAGAGTGGGAATGATGGAGGAAGCAATGTGCTGAAGAAGACAGGAGGGAATGAGATCACTTGTACATGCAGAGGAGTTTGCATTGATAAGGGGAATGGTCACCTCATTATGGGAGACTGGTGTGAAGGCAGAGATAGTGGCTGATAGCATTTGGGAAACTTCAGCTGAGGAGGGGGTGAGAAGAGGAAGCTCTTAGTAAACGGCCTCAATCATTTTCATTTTTTTTTCTTTTTTTCCCTTTTTTTAAAATCATTTTCAATGAAATATGAAGCAAGGTTCTTAACTGAAAGAGTTGGGGAGAAGGAACTATGAAAAGTTTGAAGAGGGATGAAAGAGTCTCTGTGGACAGTGGGATGGTGAGTCAATTAGAAAAGTGCAAAAAGATTGCCTAGCAGCAGTGAGGGCCCAGTCAGGGCTAATTAACATGAATTTGTAGTGGATCCAGTCAGCATAGTTTCATGACTTTCTCCAGCTTTATTCAGCAGCATGTGAGTGAGAGGGAAGGCAGCAAATGGTGAGACCCATCCAGGGCTGAACCTTGGCAGAACAATATTACTGGTAGGATAAAGGAGCAAGGGATTCAAGAGATAGTGTAGAATTGAACTGCTTCACTTTCAAGTCAAGATTTGGAAGGCAGGAAGATGCAGTCTGTGATAACCAAAACATGAGCTATTATTATTATTATGGGTCACATGACCCTATCTGAGGAACTGATTTGGATATTAGATGAGCTCTGAGATAGGTGCTGACACATAGGAATAACTGGCTAATTTCAGGACCTGAGTATTCATGAGTAAAATGAGGAGAATAACATTTGCTTT